TAAAAAAAAAAAAAAAAAAAAAACTCGAAGAAGAAGGAGGGGGTATTATTGTTTTAATCCTCTTACCAGCAGTCATTTTAAGACATTTTTTGGAGGGGTGAAATGGCGTCTTGTCTACCCAATTCTAACCCAAATCCCTGCGGGGCCGGGGAGCTGTTGGAGGCACAGCGGCTCCCCGGCCTGCATCTCTCCATCTCTGCAGCATTCCCAACAAAACGCGCGGAAATTGCAAAGGAAAACTGAAGAGCGCGCGGCGTTAACCCGAGAGTGGCCGCGCGGCGCTCACCGCAAAGCGCGCATAAGGGCCTAATCTGAGCCTGGCATTTGCATATCATTTAATTAACCCGCGATGACGGATCTCTTTTTTTATGAATTCTCTTAAATATCTCATAACTTCAGATTAGATTTCCTGATTTATGCAAATGTTTTAGAACATCAGCCGATTCCATCACTTATTATTTGTTAACAGGTCAGTATTTGATTTACAGAAACATATTTGCTATAGAAAAAATAACAACCTGCTTCAATGTTGGAGATGGCAGATTTTATGTTATCATTTATTTTATAAGACTGCGTGAACATTAGGATGTTTTTGTCACTTTACAGTAAAATCCAAACACGGATAGAAAACAGATGTAAGATAAAGGGTTTTTTTTTAATACTAGTTTGACTCTTGTTTTTGTACAAAACTGCCATATAATTACCAGAATATCATGTTTATTGATTTATTATGTTAATAATAGATGTGAAATTGTTCACAGAAAGGGTCACATCTCCGAAAAAATTCAATTTAATCAACTGTGCAGGATCATTAAATATCTGCACAACTATTAAAAAAATGTTTATGTTTTTTTATGATCAACTCAGGTGTGATCCTAAACCTGGGGTCCCACGGACAGGGGAGGGGCCCGCTATAGGATAAAGAGGAGCAACGCCACGTGATTGGTGCACCGATTGGAGCGTCCGTGCGTCCCCGGTGACCCCACCCGGAGCGGTTTAAAAGCTCTTGGATGGTAGCTTTGCATCCTCCCCACAGCCACAGCAAACACTGAGCGGTCCGCGGAGCGCAGCGCACGCAGCGGACTATCCTCAAGACGGTAAACTAAAGGACAACGGGAGTGAAGAGAAGGAAAGTGCGGCTGGTAAACTTTGGAAAGAAGTGAAGCGCATCTTCATTCTGGTGGATACATCTACAGATTGCAGAGAAAACAGGTAAGGCTTTTGCTCAATCAAAAGTTAAAACACGGTGTTAGTTTTGTGTATAATTTGTGCGAACAAAGTGGAATATTTAATACGTTTAAAGCGTTGCTTTTATCGTGTTATTTTTATATGATAAACAAAATATCCTCATATATCATAGAAGGTTAAAATAACCTTACATAACCTTTAAAATAATAATAAATTAAAAATAAGCTGTAAATAAGCTGTAAATTATACCAAACTCTGAAAAAAAAGAATTCATTGGGTTGTCTGTTTATGTTGGCTCTATAATTTCAGCCTTACATCTCCAAACCCTTTTAGATTAATATTGATGCTAAATTGACGCCTCCACGCTGAGCTCCGGCCCTGAGGCTGTTCTTTACTAAATGCAGCATAACTCATAAATCCACGGTAATAAGCATAATTAGGCTTTAATCAGAGCCCGAGGCTCCGTGGCATTGTCCTGAAAGAAGAGCATTATGTTATGTTTAAAAGCGCAGATTGGAGATCAATGAAACAGGTTATACAATTAGTTTTTTATGCATGCTTGAAAGCATTTCCATGAAATTAAATAAAATTAAAAAATAGGCCTATAAGGTGTTTTTTTTAATACATTTATCCAATATTTTAAAATCAAAGTCCCAGCAGCACATGGTGGCCCACCTTTCACGCGTCAGGTCAGATGATAAATTAGTAGCTTTGTAAAGTTGAAACCTATTTTCAGACGCATAAGAAAACGCAACCCAATGGGGAATCCGGTGCGTAATTCTCTGATGACCTGTTCACGGTTCTCCCCGTCAGCCCGCAGGCGTCTAAAAGTGACCTGGGACCCTCCACAGATTCTCCCCCTCCGGTCAACACTGTTCGGGACGAAAAATAAAATTTAGTTTTCTAAAATCTAATGTTCTCAAGTGTAGCTTCGTATGGTGTAATAAGATAGTAAGTTCAAAAGGAAAATATATTTTATTGCACTACTAACAACAATTCAAACATCACATTTTAACCAACAAAATATAAATAAATATAAACAACTAAATATAAACATATATATATATATATATATATATATATATATATATATATATATATATATGCAAAGCCTTTATTTTTATACTTTTTCATAAAACTGTAACTGTTAAGCTTTAGAACGTATATTGTATTTTTAAAACATATTATGATTGTTTAAATAATTGTGCATGGAAATAAAACTAAAACTAGCACCTCTACTATTACAGCGGAATTGTCATATTAAATCATATCATCATGTGTTTATATATATATATATATATATGATTTAATATATATATATATATGTATAGGGATTCATAAAGTATTATTGAATCATAAAAATAATAAGGAATGATATGCAGATCTAGAGAAAACCTTTTCATTAAATTCAAACTTATTACATAAAATTTATGACGGATCTATCTATATACATATTGGTCTTTTGAGCGACCAATAAACCAATACGCAGCATCGTTTGACGTGTTGCGAGTTGAATTTATTTTATTCCTCACGTTTGACGAAAATCCCTGAAAAATCTGTGCTTGCAGAAATCTCCTCGGCCATGCAGCACTACGGGGTGAACGGCTACTCTTTGCACGCCATGAATTCCCTGAGTGCCATGTACAACCTTCACCAACAGGCGGCGCAGCAAGCGCAGCATGCACCTGACTACAGGCCCTCAGTGCATGCCTTAACTCTTGCAGAGAGACTTGCAGGTAAGAATCAGTTGCACATTTTCTCTTTGAATTTACCAGTACCTCTGCCACGGCTGTGGCTTGTTAAGTAACATGAGAGTTAAATAAGAGCTCTACTCTCCACCCTGCCAGTCCCTTAAATTAAACTGGTCTTTGGTTTTTCTTTTTCTCAACGGTTGTACATTTCAAGACATTATCCTTGAGGCCCGCTATGGCTCCCAACACAGAAAACAGCGACGCAGTCGTACAGCCTTCACTGCTCAGCAGCTGGAGGCCCTGGAGAAGACCTTCCAGAAGACACACTACCCTGATGTAGTGATGCGGGAGCGCCTTGCCATGTGCACCAACCTGCCTGAGGCCCGTGTGCAGGTAAAACCAGGATGTTCCTGATAAGGCATTAAGTATTTTAATTTAAATATAGAACCTAAATGTATCCATTCTTCTGCCAGGTCTGGTTCAAGAACCGTCGGGCCAAATTTCGCAAGAAGCAGCGCAGCCTTCAAAAGGAGCAACTACAGAAGCAGAAGGAAGCATCAGGGGCTGCTGATGGCTCACCAGAAGACTCTAAAACAGACCCCACAACAACTCCTAACTCAACCACTACTGTGGTTCCTGAGGTTTGCACTCCTCCACCTCCTCCTTCCTCCTCTTCATCCTGTCATTCAGAGTCAGAAAGGCTGGCCGCAGCACGGCCTCAGCCAGGAGAGTTGAGCGTGGAAGTCAACGTCACATCCCCAGAGCCGTCGGACAGCGAGTCAGCAGCAGAAGATAACGCTGAGCGAGAGGAGGAGGAAATAAGCGGGGAGTCCAGGGTGAAACTCAGGGAGGAGGTGCAAGGAGAGGGGTCTGCCCAGATGGGTAGCAGCTCTCCAGCCTGCAAAAGACTAAGCCCTACATCAGGTACAAATATCTATTTAATAAATCTGTATGATTTCCATTTTGACTGGACTGAATGTAAACTGAATTCAATTAATTAAATTAATCCTGAAATTTCTGTTCTCTTTCTGTCTTTCAGACTCTCCAATAAGCTCCCCTGCACTGCCATCCTCCAGCAGTGTAACCAGTGGGTTAGT